TAAGCAATTCTGTAAATATGATACCTGCTATAAGAGATGATTATGGTTTTAGAAATTGTCGCACAAAAGATGAGGAAAATCAACTCCAAAATATGTATAAAAAATTGTTCTTTGCACCTCAATTTGATGCAATTAGTTTACACAAAGCCTGTATGGCAGGAAAAATTTTTGAATATGTCGGCTCTATTCTTCCTAATGATGCGTTTAGAGCTGATCTTTTGAGAAATCCATACCCTTAGAAGAATATTAGGTAATTTTGATAAATTCATATTTTATTATACTATTAGCAAAATAGTTAATATTCGCTGCTTTGAACATTTTTATATTCTTATCATTACTTTGACTTTGATTAGCGTAATCTATATACAGTATACATATAATATACTAAATAAACAACTATTTGTTTATAAACGATGTGTCTGTACAAGTTCATATAATGCAATCTAAAATTCTTATCATAAAACATTTTTTTTTTACTCGAGTTAACAAATTTGCTGATCATAAAATATTTACTATTGTTCATACCAAATGGATAAAAAAAAGATTGTAATTCATAATTTTTTGCATTCAATTTACAGTGAAGCTATTTGGCTCTTAAGATTATTTGCTATAACAATGTAAAACATAAATTAACTTGATTTCTTAAGACGCTGAACTTTGTAAATCTCGTAATGTAGTCCAAGCCTAGTTGTAATAATATTTTTTTGCATGTCCATTAATCATATCATAACTAGTTTGCTTAATGTAAATAAAAGCATTAAAAATTACTTTATGTGCTTCACTATTAATGCAAACCTTCTTTACTTCCATAATTTCGGTATCTGCTTTATGAAACATGTGTTCAAAAATTAACAATGTTAAATTTTACATATACAAGTATAAAAAATTATAATGTCCAAAATTTATATTTAGAATAGAGATTGTACCAGGCAAGAAATTTTTATAAAATTATCTAGTTATTTATTATAGCTGTATAATAAAAATATCTAGCCAGATACAATCTTTAATTTAGTTTATATTTAATAAGTTGTAAATACAAAATTATTAAAATATTAAATTTAATTACTGTATTTAGATTTATTTACAAATAAAAGCCCAAAAATTGAAAATAATTACAAATAAGGGCCCAAAATGAAAATATTTCTTGATTTAGCACAAATTCTTGGCATATTTATAAAAATTCGTTTATAACCAACATCATATCAGAATCAAGT